ATTTCTTAGGGAACGCCTTTTGCTTATCCGCAAAGTCACGAATCACGAGGGCACAGGTGTGGTCAGAACACAGACGCCGTCTTCGCTGAGGAGGTAGCTTAGTAGCAAATTCGAGACCGCTAGCACGCTCCACAGCCTCGAGGGGAACCTCGAAATCGGTGATGGGCTTGGAGTTAGAGATGGGGGCGTTAGGGAGAACGAAAGCGCCCAGCGCAACGTTTCCACCAACGCGACCATCCTCAGCAAAGATCACCTTATAGAAGTGCGTGGGCACAGCAACTGAAGGAGGGGTGCCAATCATCTCATACTTGACATACCACTTGCCATCGGCCTCCTTCTTGGGAAGGTAGAGAGGGCCTGTGACGATGCGGACTGATGGATACTTGACTGTCAAACGACGGCAGAAGTCCTCGAAGTGAGCCCAGTAGTCCCGGTTGAAGCCGTCACCGACCTGAGGGCACATGTTTGTGAGGTAGAATGTGTCGTCCATGGCCTTCTGAGACCATTTGCAGTCGGCAGCAGGAACTTGATGACCACGGTCATAACCACTGCGGTAGTAGTCCTTCAACAGAGCGCGGAACTTTTGTGGCACAGAGTCATCTTCAAGAAAGCTGCTGTGTTTTCGATCACCATCGCGAATGGCAAGGGAAGCAGGAGTAATATGTTCGACGACCCAGTGAGGGTTTCGCGTACGACGATCGTAGGAAGAGACCAGGCCAGAGCGATTGGCGACATCGGCGACAGGGCCTGGAAATCCGTAGTCGAAAAGACCCCCAGGGTTGACGATTGCGCTTGGGTCGATTGACAAGCCGGAGGGCGCAGTGGCTGGAGGTCCGAAGACTTGGGCGGGAGGAACAGCGGGAGAAGCGGTGGGAGCAGGAAGAGCGGCGAAGGAGTTTGAGGTTGTCGGAGGAGGCGTAGCCAGAGTATTGGTCTCCTCGACACGTTTACCGCCTCGAATAGAGTAAATGGCGGCAGTGATAGCAGCACCACCTCCTGCGCCTAGGCAGGCCATAGTAGCGAGAGTAGTCTTGGACATGATTATTATCCCTGCACAGACGAGGCTACGGAAAAAGAATGTAGAATGGAGTTTGATCTTAATGAGCGGAAGGACAATAGTATGTGGGAAATCAACAACCGGAAGTCAGATCACGCGCGATCTTTGCCCAATGGTGTTGAGTTGCAGTGCCTCGTGATATTGAGATCGATCACAGGGTTTGAGATAGCTTTCGAGCCGACCCGTAGAAATTTTGGGAGCTGAGCTCGGAACGGAACGTGGGGGGCCGTTGTTTTGCCGTTATCGGTGGATTTTAGGGGTCTTGGGGCCTGTTACTTGACGTCACTGAGCGGTAGCTTGAAGTTTGAGGGTAACAGCAAATATGGAATATCACTAGATCCCGATGTTGATGAAGTAAACACAGAGAAATACACAAGAGCGACAGATACTGAACGTCTACTTGCCTTACAGACAGCATGAATTCAAGGCAACCTAAGGCAGGGGATGAATCATGTAGGGATTGTTCTAGACACTGAATGATTCAGATTGATTCATCAAGGTGCGTGGCTCGTGAGACTCGACAATGTAAGTTGCCGTGTATGACAAGACACGAGTTCATCGAGAGCCATTCACGAGGAAATGTAATTCTCGAGGGCCTTTCAACCTCGAGACGTATATTGGGGTTGAGGCTCAGTGAAAGATCACATTATGTAGGTGCCTGTTAGCGTGGACAGTAACGAATATAATGCGTAGCATTACCTACGATGTGGGGGGTGACAAAGACTTGAAATTGATTCGCGCGCAAATCGCATCTTGAAACTTAGCTCAGACAAGGTATGAGGCGTCATGATGAGAGGAGTTGTAGAGTTTATATACGACTCGCATAAGCGCAGCGAGGCTTCTATAAAATCCGGCTTAATGTCAAGGAGCCAATGACTGTACTCTAAAATATGTGAATAGTTACGTGCTACTCAAGTCACATATAATACAACCCCCACGATACCAGCCAGGGCAGTTATGGATATCGCTATAATTAATAACGCACTATTAAGTGATGTCTCACTGTTTTACTGCTCGTTACAGCTACTACAATCAAAAGAGGCATGGCAATTCGTAAGCCAGGCGGTCAACGAGACGCCGTGATCCAATGATGCGTAGATGCTGAGACGTGAGAACCTTGAGGGACAGTTTTGATGGAGACGCACGGCCTCATGATGGTGTAAGTTGACCCCCAACTCAATCCTCTGAAAGCGTTCTAAGGGGCTGATTATTTATAGCGTTGCAGTTACTCTCCTCCTAGTTGAAGCACGAGGTTGAAATAGGAGCGCTCTTAAAGGAACAATTCCTCATGTTGGGGCCTAGATGTGGTTTCCTTGTTCTATCATGATCCATTGTCGTCAGGGCCAGGCTAATGCGCATTAACAAAGCCCCATCCTCTTTGTCATTTGTCTCTGCAAGGCCCTTGAAACTTATATTCAGCCCCAAACTTATTTCTCTTCTCTCTGCTGCGTGCAAAGAATTTTTTTATCACCCTCTTTGTCCTCTCATTTGTCACTGAAGGCTCTCGTTGTCATTGATTAGATACCTGAGTCGAGCCCAGACTAACAAGGTCCCCCCGCCCACTGCGCTAAACAAAACCGCATCGATATTCCCCTGCTCCCGTCGTTCGCTACGTCAGACCTAGAACCAAAAAGATCTACAGCTTCTTTGCTCTTGCCTCTTAGGTTGCGCCCGTCACAACCTCGACTTCAAGTCTCGATCCCTCTCGAAACTCACACTTGGCCTCATCATCAGAGCTCGTTTCTAGGCGCAACATCACTTCATACACAGACGATAGACTTAAGCAGCATGGCCACACCCGTGGGCCAGAGCAGCCTCGACAATGATACTCGCGGCTGGATCATGTGTGTTGTCAGCGGCATTGGTGAGTTGCTCCTCATCTCCAAGACTCCAATGCGCTTCCTGGTACAGTTCTAACCGTCATTCCCAGCTTGCGTTGTTGGCGCCTCCATAGTATGCGTTGACGTTATTGTTCGATTGTTTCCTGGCAAGAGAAACTTTCGCATACAGGATAGCAATGTCTTCTTAGCTTGCTCTCTCAGCTTGAGTTTTGGTGTCATGGTAAGGCCCTTCTGACAGCGTCTACCTCTTCTGCTAACAAGGAACAGCTATTCTCCGCATTGTATAGTATGTTACCGGAGTCCAAAGAATATTTCCAGCAGGCCAAATGGTCTACTCAAGCTGCTGGCCTGGTCATGATGTCCTGTTTCGCTGGTGGTTTCATCGGCATTCAGGGAGTTTCGCGATTGCTTCACCAGTTCATGCCCACCCACGTCGTCGAATGCGATCATACACACGATGAAAATGCAACCAAAGACACTTCATGTCACCACGAGAGGAGACAGTCTCGCGCCCGTCGTCGTCAATCTTCCCATCCGCCGCCTGAACAACCACCCGTCAACAAGTCGCTTTCCAAATTAACTAACGGTAACGGGCAAAATGCTGCGACTGAGTCCACACCTCTGCTAGAATCTACTTTGGATAGCCCTACGCAGACTCTCAAGAGACAAGCGTCTGCTCGCGATGGAATGCGACGCCCTGCCAGTCCAACACGAAGCCGTACCACCACAGGACTTACGGATGGCTTCCCTGAGAGGAGGAAGTCCATGCGAGAAGTTCAGAAGCGAGTCATGTCCTTTGTACAAGATACAAAGTGCAATTGCGACGAGTCAAACTCCTGCTACGGATTCACAGATCCTTGTGGCCAAGAGTGCTTCAAGCATTTGAGTAGCCGAACCAGTCTACCTAGCAGACCTGGAAGACAAACCCAAATTCTGCGCACTACCACTGGGTCATTTCTAAACCGCGCGCCTGAACATTCCCATGCTCACCACGATCATGATCATGAGCATGAGAATGGATGCGAAGACTCTGTTGAGCCCTTTGCGAGACCAACATATCGAACCAGCAGAGCCAAGTCACGAGAGCCATTGGATCCGATAGTCCCGGAGGAACTCTCTGAACACGACAGCTCATGCTCTTCTGCAGGAGACGACGAAGATGTCGAAGCTCAACACCATCACCACGTTCCAACAAATGCATTCTTGTCCATTGGCCTCCAGACCTCCATTGCCATTGCCCTGCACAAGTTTCCTGAAGGATTCATCACCTATGCTACCAACCACGTCAACCCATCGCTAGGTTTCAACGTTTTCATGGCACTATTTGTCCATAACATCACTGAAGGCTTCGCCATGTGTCTGCCGCTATACATGGCTCTGGGTTCTCGCTGGCGCGCCATGGCGTGGTCGGCCTTCCTTGGTGGTCTCTCTCAACCCATTGGAGCGGGCATTGCTGCACTATGGTTCAAGCTCGCCGATAAGACCAATATGCAACCCAACGCAGTTGCTTACGGATGTCTCTTCGCTGTCACTTCCGGCATCATGGTTAGTGTCGCATTGCAGTTGTTTGTGGAGAGTCTGAGCCTCAACCATAGCCGTAACCTCTGCATCTTCTTCGGCTTCCTTGGCATGGCTTTACTGGGATTCAGTAACGCCTTGGTGGGCTCTCACTAGATGTTCAGCCTCATACGAGATATATAAATACTTAGCCAGTATCTTTTTATGCTAGCCGTGCTGACGCTCTAGCATTCGTTCCCGTCATTACTTGGCTCTTTTTCTTGCGCGGTGTTGGTCGGGGGCAATCGGTTTTCATTGGGAGGGGCATAAAATCATTTTGGGTTTTTGCATTCGGTAGACTGATAGAAAGGAAATAACTTCACTTTACGCAAGAACTGGGTAAACTCGGTCAGACAACTTTATTTCTTTCATCATAGCCATCCCCATCGCTTTTGTGACATTATATTCTTCATACATCGTGACGGTGTCATAATAGGCAGCCGCTCATATGTTGACCCCCGTCAAGCCTTGCGGCCGGGTATCTATTTTATTTCTCACTTCTCAAAAACCCAGAACATCTGAACTCCACAAATCCTTTCTTTGTCTCAGAGAGTACCAAGAGCGGGGTCAATAAGAGGATCCTGTAGTGCTGGATCTCTTGCCAACAGAAGTATGTTGGTTTCGTCCTCTGGCCAGTCATCTCGCGGAGGGCCATAGTCCATTGTAGCAGCGAAGATGTCATCCTCCGGCATAATACCAGGCCAATTCGTTGTGTTAGGGAAACTGCCATCGAAGAAGAACTGAGCAGGATCAAGCTGGTCTCCAGCTAGGATAAGAGACGGGTCAGTAGCCGGTGGGTGATACAGCTCAACATGTGCATCCCGGTCGTGGTAGCGAATAAAGGCTTCATGGCAGTGAGGACAAGAAATCGTTCTCTCTGCCTGGATCGCAGCACCGGAGAGTTCATTGATAAGATTGATTCCTTGAGACGGCTCAGGCTTCGAGAGCTTAGGGCGTTCGTGGCCGAGATGCTTATATCGTATATGATCTTCTAGTCGACTCTTGGTACTGAACTTATCACCACAGCCTTGATCGTTTGTCCAGCCCTGTAGGCCAGAACTATTGATGTCAACTTGGCCGCAAACAAAGCGGAACCCCTCATGCGCTGTACGAATATGGGCGTTGAGGTTGGACTTCTTAGTGAACTTCTTGGTGCAATCGTCGTATGGGCAGGCGATGTTCTTTCGATCCTCGACGGACTGACCGGAATGGTGCATTTCGACATGCTTCTCCAGCTCCCATCGTGAAACAGATTTGAATTCGCAGAAAATGCAGTTTTGATGTTCTTGGCGGATATGTGCCTGAAGCAGCACTTCAGTAGTGAATCCGACCCGCTGTTCTGTGCCATCTGGCATCCTCTTCAAACCGCATTCGCCGCACCAGAACTTTGCCTCGCCATGATCCTTATCGCGGTGTCGTTTCAAGGCTGCCTTGGACTCAAAAGCATGACGGCACCCTTGCTCTGGACATTGGAGGGCAGGCAGGCCCTGGTGGTCTTTTCGAACGTGCTTGCTCAATGTCTCCTTCTTTCTGAAACTCTGCCCACAGTCTTGGCAACGGAATCTCTCTTCGCCTTCGTGGACAGCCTGGTGTCGTTTAAGTCGAGTACCCGTCACAAAGCTCTTGCCGCAGCCTTCCTTTTGACAGACATGCTTTCGCTCCAGAGTATGGACAGCCTTGATGTGCTGCTTCAAGTGCTTGTCCTCTATATAATCCTTATCGCAACCATCATAAGGACACTTGAATGGTCGGGAATTGGTGTGAGAATTGAGGTGATCTCGTAATCTGGCAGGTCGATTGAAGGTCTTTGGGCAACCAGGCCATGTGCAAGCAAGAGTTTTGAGATCCGAAGGAAACTTGGCCCGGGGAGTTGTAGCAGCAGTATTCACTGTCTGTGGTGAATCAGGGTCCTGGGTGGAATATGGAGTATGAGCGCTAGTTAAGTCGTCCTCTGCATCATCAATGTCTGAGTTTGCAATATCAGCAGATGCATCTTCTGAGCTCAAGAAGGGTAGGAAGCCGTACATAAGTCATCTGGGCCTCCACGATAAAGCCTCTTGGCCGGAGGAACATCAACGGCTGGCTCAGCAGCTTCTCGTTTACTCATAATGCTGTCATGTCGAGGACCCTTCAGTTTGTTAATGTCGAAGCAGGCTTGAAAGTGGCAGAATTGATTTCAATTTAAGGCGGTGACTATATTTTTGTGTGGGGATTGCAGGGATGAGAGTCAGGAGCGATCCACCTGAAAGCTTCGCGCCGATATTCTTTGTCTGAACGTGCGGAAGGTGCGCCGGAAAAACATCGGCCTAACCAGGTTTTACTTTGTTCCTTCTCTAGAACTTTTTTACGAGGTTGGCCTGGGCCATTCTAAAACCATCCATTGTGAAAGCGACTCTGGACTAAGAACACCCTCACATTCATTCTTCATCAAGTTCACATTAAACGACACTCACCATGTCTGATTTTGGCGATGACGATGTTGGCGGCGCTGGCGGGTAAGTTGCTTCGCGATCTTTGCAGGCGCACGCGAATCTAACTCGTAGGCAGCGACGAGCCCATGTACGAGGAGGAGGAGATCACCGAGTACTACGACCCCGAGGTTCTCGAGGAGGAGGATGGTGACCAGCAGCAAAACGGACAAGACCAGGATAATGTCGTAGTCTCGGGAGATCCTTCTGCCGCTGCCAACGCACTGAAGGGCGGCGACAAGCTACTCAAAGACAAGAAGATTCCCGAGAACGAGCGAACTACCACACCCTACATGACCAAGTACGAGAGGGCACGCATCCTCGGCACACGCGCTCTGCAGATCAGGTCCGCATCACCTTGCTGAACTGTAGCAACTTTCTGGAAACTAACGGGATGCAGCATGAATGCGCCTGTGCTCGTTGATCTCGAGGGTGAGACCGATCCCCTTCAAATTGCGATTAAGGAGATGCGGGAAAAGAAGATCCCCTTGATCGTGAGGCGATACATGCCCGATGGCTAGTAAGTGATGCTTGTTGAGGCAGCTCGAAGATGCCCTACTTACGCGTGTGGTACAGCTACGAGGATTGGACTTGCGAGGAACTGCTGCAGTAAGCGACCAAAGGACTAGCACGTCGCGAAACAACCGATTGCCCCCGAGGCGTATATACCCATGCGACCCTCCTTAGATACAATCGAGCTGGAACGTTGTGTGCTCCCTTCTGGCTTGACATGTTGTATAGTGTATCAGGAGGTTAATTAATCATGTATAAGCGCGGCGTTTGAGATTGAGATTGATTTACACAGGAACTAGACAAAAAACAAGAAGGAAATCTACTTTGCTTCTGTGTCTTGGTGGACGAATGTGTTGATTGTCTCCGACGCCGTCTTTGATGAAGACGCACAAAGAATCCCCAACAGCAACACTGTTGACGGATGCTCCAACGTCACATCGTTGACAATACGGGTGTGCCCGGCAGATTTTCATGAGAGAATGATGTCAAGTGGGAAAAGGCAGATGGCTTGTTCTGGGTCTGATGGGCCGAATACGTCGGGCCAGATTGTGTTTCACTGAAACACCGGCGCGAGACATGACGGCATCTTGTGGTGCTTGGACACAACCTCAAATGCGCAATGGCCTTTTCATACGTCACAAAGTCTGATAAACAGTCAATCCAAGCAAGGGAGCATCTTCTCACACCACGCAATCCGGGCTTGACAGAGATTGTCAACTTCAAATACAAAGACATGACTCCTGCAGCGTCTGTGGCTTCTTGCATATTTGAAAGGGTCCTCACAGGTAGAGGAATTGTCCAACCAACCACAAGTCCAGAATATTCTTTCCAGCCTCCGACGTTGTGCCACAGATCCGGAAACGGGTGTTGGTGGGAAGGGAAAAGCCGTGACAGCCGTAGCTTTGCAAGTAAAGTTTCCATGCAACCTTGGCCAACTCGGCTTTAATTCAGTTTGTTTGTTTGTTCTTTTCTGTGTTGTGCAGGTAAGGTATTTAGACGTTTGGTGACAGGATGATCTCCCTCTTGGCGGCGGCTTTTATGACGTCGGCGGATACGCACTCCCTTGACTGATCTGAATTGAACTTGAGACGATGATGAAATGTTACGTCTAGTGTTGATCGTACGAGTCGTGTTCTCTTATGCAGGAGGAATTAGACGAATGTAGTGACGCTGTTGTGCTATTGGAAGCTTATTATCTTGCTCCTTTTTTTATAAGAGGTTGGTTGCACTTGTGGTGTTTTGAGGCCGGGAGGTTGGTACACAGAAACAGCAAACAATTGATAACTGCCTTGGGTATATATCTTACTCAAATCCAACCTCTGCTAAGAATCTGTCTGATTCATACTCTTTCATCTCAGACATTAACACTCGCCAATCTAACGCTTTCGTTCCCACTATCATTATCAGCCGAGACAAGTCCCAGCCGCTGCAATGAAGTTCTTCACTCTTATTGCAACCATTCTTTCTGCCGTCAGCATCTCTGCTGTGCCCATATTGAAGGAGCGGGCAGTCGGGGGTGTAAGTTGACTCTCTTCTCTACTATACAGGCCATCTCTTTTCTGTGGTATTGACATCTCATCGCCGCAGCTTTTGATATGCACCGGTGCCAACTCCACGGGCACATGCACCCACGAGGTATACACACTTAACAAGTGCCATCAACTTTCTGAACCTTTCCTTCGCAACGTCACAACCTTTGCACCTGATGGTGAACATTTCAACTGTTACCCCCGTACAACCGGCTGCAACGATACTTGTACGAGCCCTACGGGTTGCACATTAGGCCCGATCGATTTCAATTACGAATACAAGTTCAACTTCACTCGTGTCGGCTGGCCCAAACTCTTCAACAGCTTTGACTGTTCGCTGAAAAAGACCACAAGAAGCGACAAGTTGTTCGGTTAGGAGAAGATTGTAAGGATGGTACAGGGAGAGCCAGAATGGGTACCTGGGTGGTTATATAAATTCACCAACATGGTTGTCTTCGGTTGCATCTTCTTGGCCTTTTACCTTCTGTGTTAAAGCGATTGAGTAGTCTTTTTTTGGTATTGCATTGGGATGGCAAACTTGGTGACGGAGTAAAGGGCAATTCACCTGGCTACGGAGTATTTGGAGTTAGCGATACTAGCGATGGGGTTTTGTTTTTTGGCAGTTAGCCAGATCATACAAGCAGAGATAGATACAGCTCTGATGGCTGACGATTATCAGTATGAGATAAGATATGAAGCAATCAATCACTCACACCATCTCGACATCCCTTCTACCGTAGTACTGATGTATCCTGAGAACTACCTTAGGAGTCAAACAGCGTATTAAGTTCATCATAAATCATTGGATGATATTCTCATATTGTCTCACCTTCGTGTATTTTAGAACTCTAGTCATAGGTTTTCTGCTAAACCCCCAAGCCGTGTACATGCTGTTCTTATCTTGTCTCCGACCCGTGACACGGAGGGGGTTCCGTATCCCGGAGCCGGGAGATAATTCGGCATTCGTCATGTTGGTGAAGGCATCCGGGTACCGATGGTGGGGTTAAGGTTACCCCAGACCTCGCCATTGACTGGAAGCTTCCCCTCCTTGGGATCAAGCTCAGCTATTTCATAGCAACATAACCATTGACTACTGAGATTTCTCTTCTTTCACTTTATTTTCTCTTTCTTCTTGAAACTGTTCGCAACTTTGTCCCCCCAATTGCCTCTGTCTAACCCAAGTCATCCTCAAATACAGTGACATCATGGCTTTCACTACGAATGCTACCATCAACAGCTTCGGCGGACGTTTCCTCAAGCTCTCCCACAAGTCCGCCGTTACCGGCACACCTATGAACGCAACCCTCTACCTCCCAGGCTCGGCATCATCTTCTAAGCCAGCTCCTCTTCTCATCTACCTCTCTGGCCTCACATGCACGCCCGACAACGTTACAGAGAAGGGTTTCCTTCATGCTCACGCCTCAAAGCTCGGCCTTGCTCTTCTCTACCCAGACACTTCTCCCCGCGAGCTCGACTTGCCCGGTGAGCACGACTCATATGACTTTGGCAGTGGAGCGGGTTTCTATATCGATGCCAAGAAGGACCCTTACAGCAAACACTACAAGATGGAGTCGTACATCACCAACGAGCTTCCCGACCTCATCTTCAAGGAGTTTAAGGAGGTTGACTCCTCGCGAGTTTCTATCTCTGGCCACTCTATGGGTGGACATGGTGCACTGACTCTGTTCCTCAAGAACCCCGGCAAGTACAAGAGTGTCAGCGCCTGGGCTCCTATCTCCAACCCTTCCCAGTGTCCCTGGGGTGACAAGGCCTTCAAGGGTTACTTGGGTGAGGATAAGGAGGAGTGGAAGAAACACGATGCCACCGAGCTCATCAAGAGCTGGAAGGGCAACTTCCCTGCTCTCATTGATGTTGTAAGTCCCGAGGCTCTCTCTCGCAATTGTTAAATGTCCCGTGCTAATCGACCAGGGCACTGGTGACAACTTCTACAAGCAGGGCCAGCTTCTCCCCGAGAACCTCGAGAAGGCTGTCAAGGATGCTGGTATTGAGGGCTTGACTCTCCGCTACCAAGATGTAGGTGTTTCTCATTCCCATCAAACGACAATGCTAACCCGTCTTCAGGGTTATGACCACTCTTACTTCTTCATCTCTACCTTCGGCGAAGATCACGTCAAGCACGCCGCCAAGGCTCTTGGACTCTTGTGACTACCACGCAGTGCGCTGTAAGAGGGTGCAACCAACAGTTTTTTGACAAAAGTCGGTTGGATGTATTTACGGCGCCATTCTGGGTAAACAAATCAGGGTGTATACTCAAACTGTGTACACGAAATGCTCGAGGAGCAAATGTTCTCAATGATGATGCTATGGTCTGAACGATAGCGGAAAAGAGGCCGTAACTCCACCGACCAAGGAACCTAAAAGCAAGTTAAATAATATTACTCTTCCGAATCACATTGATTTCGTATGTAACGTGCCATTGTATTCGTCCAATGTCTTTGAAAAACGCCGCCCATATGAGGGCTGAAAGGTATATGATGTGAACCCAGACATGACACCTCCTGGAGAACCCGTCAAAGTTACTCCAACCCATAAATAAACTCCTACATGCCCGCCCATACGGAAACTCCAATTCAAACGTTCAGCTTACTATCCTCTCCATTTCAGCGCTTATACCTTCTTTTTCAAGCTTTGCTTGCATCTCAGCATCCACCTCTCGACGGAGCCGCATATAAGCTAGCTTCTCAAAGCGACTGAGACTTCTCCACCAATGCTGTCCGGCTTCATGATCGGATATACGCTCCAAGAGATCTGCTGTTCTCAGACGGACTTCGCGGTCCTTGTGAAATAGACCAAGGGCAAGGTAGAACAACCCAGCGTGCGACTCAGGGGCTACACTAAGCAGTAGGCAAATCTCATCGTACGTGTGGACGTGCTTGGAGATGGTGAGATAGATATCTCTGCTCTGCGCGGGGGTCAACCGTTGCATTCGTAAACGGTCGTGAAGATGGGCCAAGTCAAGACCCTTCAGTGGCCTGATGGTATATATCTGTGCCAGATCCTGTGAAATGTTAGCTTTGGTCGTCCCTTGATTTCGTATGGTGTCTTACTTGGATGAAGCTGTAATAACTTCGTGTGTTGCGCCAGCCTTCGATTCTTGTTACATTACCAGCAAGCTCCTTATGCTTAGCTGTATCATCCGCCCAGACATAACCATGCCCATTAGCCCCTGGTGGCATCAAGTCCTGATCTTCGCCTCCAATGTACAAGGCACTAGCTCCATAAACGCTTTCCTCGAATTTGGCCGCAATTTGAGTGAACTTGCCGACCCAGTCGCGCCACTTTGCTCGGATCACACGTTCGCCATGTCTTGCAGCAATGCTCCTTAGAACATCAGCCATGAAGGCATTGTCACCCGTATAGTCCTGGCTTGTGTTCGTGGTACCGCTTGCAATGGCCGCAAAAGCTGCATTTTGTTGCTGGAAGTACAGCAGACCCTCCGTCACAGGGGCAGGGTCGATCTTTGTACTGATCTTGACCCTTCCACTTGGTAAATCGCACAAGACGTCCCACCACTCGGGGTGAAGCTCGAAGGTGGGATTCGTTACACCAG